GCCTTAGCGCTGGGCCGGTGCCGAAAGCCGCCAGGGTGCCAAACCGCCAGGCACATCTCCCCGGGCTGCTCGTCCTCGTCCCTTTCACAGCAAAGGCCCCCGCATCGCGCAGTGTCTGGGCGCCAGTCAGCCAAAACCAAGAGGGGCCGGGTCTGTGGAACCAGGCGTGCTCGGGGGGGCTTCTCGGATAACCCCAGGGGCCGTGAGCTGCCCGCCTGCCGCGGGGGTTGTGCGACGGCAGGTCTGCATTGCCCCTCCCATCCCTCCAGCCTCTCCGCTCTGCGCACGCTGCGTCCCGGGCGGCCTGCGTCAGGCCTGTCCGGCACAAACGCGGGGGCTTCCCCTCCAGCTCTGGGCAACTCTCTGAGCAATAAGGGCCCGGCTCTTCCGTGAAGAGCTGGGGGAGCAGCTCCTGTTCCCCCCCGGGGGCACCTGCAAGGCAGTCGGACTGGGGGGCGTCCGTGGGCCACAGGGAGACCTGTGCACTGCAGTTGTCTTGGCACTGTCTGCCTGTCGCCTGCCCTCCCCCGAGGTGGCAGCCCCCGGGGGCTCTTTCTGTTACATTTTGAAGGATGTCTGTGTTGCCGCGCTCCTCGTATTGCTTGGGCCTGCGGGGAGCCGCCTGGCGGAGGGAGCCGGCACAGGCCTCGCGGGCCCGCCTGCCTTTGAACGCTTGTTTCTCTCCCCGTTGTTCCCGCGGGTTTGGAATTTTAATAAAGTTTGGTTTTGTAGACGCCAGCGTGTGGGAAAGTGGCGGTTCGGCTCCTGTGTGGCTGTAGCGCAACCCGCCCCCAGCTGTCCAGCCTGCCTGGGGCAGTGCCCTGCTGCTGAGGTCTTGCCCCCAGGGTAAGCTGGGGGAAGGAAGGGAACAGTGGGGCACAGCCCTGGCCTGGAAGGGTGCCTCTGCACGGGTTAGGACGCACTTGCAGAACACAGGACTGTCCGGCTCCCAGGCAGGATCCAAGCTCACGCTCAACAGGGGTGAAGGGATTTCCCCCTCTGTCCTCGTTACTGGCCTTGCTGGGGCTTCGTTAGCGAGCCGGGGGGAGGTCAGAGAACGCGCTGACCCACTTGCGGGGCTGAGCGCCGTACTCCCCGTGCCTCTGCACGGGTTAGGACGCACTTGCAGAACACAGGACTGTCCGGCTCCCAGGCAGGATCCAAGCTCACGCTCAACAGGGGTGAAGGGATTTCCCCCTCTGTCCTCGTTACTGGCCTTGCTGGGGCTTCGTTAGCGAGCCGGGGGGAGGTCAGAGAACGCGCTGACCCACTTGCGGGGCTGAGCGCCGTACTCCCCGTAGCCTGTGTTCCTGTGTGTACTTTGTGCCAGCCCAGCCCCCGCTCTTGGAGAGAGGCACAGTCACCGCCATCAGCCACGCCGGGCAGCCCTCCCCTCTAGGGCTTGTGGGGCACAGGCTGGCGAGCGAGGCTCCTCTGCCAGATCACACCCCCCTCTTGTGTTGGCAGCCGATTAGCCAGGCAGTGGAACCTTAGCCCCGGCGCTACTGGCTTCCCCCGGTGCCCTTGGCTGTGTCACACGAGTGGGTTGTGGCTCCGTTTCCCCAGGGCTCGTAAAACCTGCCTTGCTGCGGTTCTCGTTTCCAGGGGGCGGACGGTGGGGGGCATGTGGGTAAAACAGTGGCCAGGGAGCAGGAGAGACCTGGCTTTGATCCCCCACTCTGCTACTGCCTACGCAAGTGCCCTTGAGTAAGTCACTGACTCTGCCTCAGTTTCCCCTGCTGTGAAACGTGCCTCAGTTTCCCCTGCTGTGAGGGGGAGACCCTCCCTTGGGCTAGTCAGACAGACTCTTTGGGCTGTGCATTTGTACAGCGCCTAGGCTGGAGGGGGGGGAGCTTCGCTAGGGGCAGGACTGTCCTTCCCATTGGTGGGGTACTAGGCCGTACTACCACACGGCCGCCCCTTGCCTCAGTTTCCCCTGCTGTGAAACGTGCCTCAGTTTCCCCTGCTGTGAGGGGGAGACCCTCCCTTGGGCTAGTCAGACAGACTCTTTGGGCTGTGCATTTGTACAGCGCCTAGGCTGGAGGGGGGGGAGCTTCGCTAGGGGCAGGACTGTCCTTCCCATTGGTGGGGTACTAGGCCGTACTACCACACGGCCGCCCCTATACCTGATGGCAGCCGGGTGGCGGCGGCGGCGCGATGATTTTTTTTACCTGTAATTTTATAATCTGCAGCCGCACACGGATGAAATAGTTGTAAAGCGAAGTTTATACTAAAGTGCTATCGACTAACAGTCAATTCAGCAACAGACACTCGAGAGCGGGGGCTGCATTAGCACCAAATGGCTCTTTCACCGGGTCGAAGTTCTGCTAAGGGCTCTGGCAGGCTTTGTTACGGAGCCAGGGAGAGGAAGAGGCGGGGGGGGGG